CGGTGGGAGACGGAGCGAGCCAGCAGCCGGGCGCAGCGAGCCGGGGGAGGGTCCTCAAAGGCGAGGAGCGCCATGTTTCCTTCCCCTCACCCCCAGCGAGTGTCAGGGCGGTGTTACAGCGTTTTGGTAACAAAACCCAGTTGGTTTGGTTCGGTGGTTCCTTGAAAACAAGCGTTTCTTTCTTTCTTTGGAAATGAATGTCAATTCAAAAGAGTAAACCATCGCAGTTTTGGCAATAAACGGAATTCTTCAAGGAGGAATAAATACCCGATGTCAGCCTTACTTGAGTGTAATGGTGGTGTATAGTGGGATAGGAAAAAGATTAAGGATCTTCACATCTACTTTAGTCGGTGATGTCACTTTCTCCTGCATTAGCTTTGATCTGTGCAGATCCATCTAAGATGATTCATCATTTCCAGCGGACAAACCCATAATTTAAGTGGCAGTTAAACCATTGGCACCGGGTTTGTTTGTCCTTTCTAAATTTGGAGTGGCTTACCTATTCCACACTGTGTCCTTATACACCTTCTCCAGGAGGGTCATTTGGGGTTTTGCACTAATTTGTTATAGGAAGTACGTGTGGTTGTTCGTTTTTTCGGGTTTTTTTTTTGTTGTTGTTGTTGTGTTTTTTTTTTTTTCCTTTATGTTCCAAAGGCAACTCTTCAAGTGTTAATAACAGTCAAATTAATGAATGCAATCTTTCCATGCAGAATCAGAAATAAGCACTGTAGCAAAAATAAGCTTTCCAGCTTTTCCTTTATACATACTCTGGTACTAGTTCTAAAGTGAGTCTTAGTTCACTGAGAGAAAGAATACCACAAAGCTTAGACACAGAATGATGATAACCACGTTATGGTGCTCTGAACACCTACGGACACAAAAACTAGAGAATAAAACAAAAGGAGAATAGCTAGAGTTTTGGATTTCCAAACGTTATCAAAATAGAAAAAAAACCCACCTAGAAAGTTATGTGGAAGAAAGACCGAGCAGCAATAATAAATAGCAGATGAGACATGAATTTTCTTAAGTAAAACCCCAGGATTTTGATTATGGATGTCAAAATCATGTCAATGAGTAAAAGTAATATTCCTCTAAATACAGTTTTCTTGCAGCCTTACTGTAAGTATTATTATCTGTCTGGCATCGAAATTACATGAAAATAAAAATTCCAAAGCCTAAAACATCACTGATGAGAAAAGTAAAAGTAAAGGAATAAAATAAATAGGTATGATAGAATTTAGTTTAAGCAATCTCTATCCAGGTTAGTTTTCTGTAGTAATGATGAATTACACAAGAGGGAGCTGTGATCTGATAAATTTATTGAAACTTTTCATGCCAAGTATTTTCTGTTCAGTATTCACATAAAAAAAGCACATGATGATAGTATATGCTGTATTTTTTTCCCCAAAAAGTGATGGAGGTAATCTCTTTACATTTTGCAGAAGGTATTTAAAGCCACAGTATTATCTAGTAATTTTTTCAAAAACATATGTCAAATATTTTAATATGCTTTAGGTGACTATTTTAACATATTTCTGCTTTATTTACAGGTAGAGACTGGAGCAGAAAAGATTACTTTGTAAATAAGAGCTAGCCATCTAATTTTGGAACCAGTTGTAGCACCCCAACTCCA